AATGGACATTTCCTATTGGCTGATATCTGTTCACTTGTTGAATATTGTACAAAATGTTGTTTTCTATTTTTATGGTACGATGTGGTCTGCTTGACTAGTATATAAAAAGAGTATGTTTGAAATATAATGATGCATATCTCAGAAGCTGTGACTTTCGTTCTGGACTCAATTGGCTGGGATAGACAGGGAAGCAGGGCCAATCGGGATACTAGGTCGTTCATTACGTGTTTACGTGCCACTGAATCGATCGATATAAACGTTGCTTATCAAAACCTACAGTCTCACCCGTTCCAATAATTTGTTTAGTGAATTATTAAATATTAAATAATGTATACTTTTAATTAGTAATTTCATTTCAAGTTATAGCTTTCACTATATTGATTGTTGTCATTTAATATATTGGTCTGTACTACACTAACTTATCAATAACAGACAGTGACAAATACGTAAAATAAAAACTTCAATTAATATTCTTACTAATACAATTAAATTAAAGTATATTATAAAAGCATATTTCTTTCTTTTTTGTTTGCCGCAATAAAATCAGAAATTAATTTTTGGTACTATCAAAATAACTATATACATATCATACATTAGGCATATCTTATTGAGGTCAATGTATAAATTGTTCCTTAATCTATAATGTTTACAAGTTAGTTTATTTTCTAAATGGATATTGATCAACATATATATATATATATATATATATATATATATATATATATATATATATATATATACATATATATATAGATATATATAGATATATATATATATATATATATATATATATATATATATATATATATATAGATAGATAGATAGATAGATAGATAGATAGATAGATAGATAGATAGATAGATAGATAGATAGATAGATAGATAGATAGATAGATAGATAGATAGATAGATAGATAGATAGATAGATAGATAGATAGATAGATAGATAGATAGATAGATAGATAGATAGATAGATAGATAGATAGATAGATAGATAGATAGATAGATAGATAGATAGATAGATAGATAGATAGATAGATAGATAGATAGATAGATAGATAGATAGATAGATAGATAGATAGATAGATAGATAGATAGATAGATAGATAGATAGATAGATAGATAGATAGATAGATAGATAGATAGATAGATAGATAGATAGATAGATAGATAGATAGATAGATAGATAGATAGATAGATAGATAGATAGATAGATAGATAGATAGATAGATAGATAGATAGATAGATAGATAGATAGATAGATAGATAGATAGATAGATAGATAGATAGATAGATAGATAGATAGATAGATAGATAGATAGATAGATAGATAGATAGATAGATAGATAGATAGATAGATAGATAGATAGATAGATAGATAGGATAGATAGATCAATTCATTTATGGTTCTACACTAATTTGCATTAATATTTATTATAATTTCTCATTGTAAACGAACAAACATTATTGTATTAAAGATAATATATATCTCTAAATAAGTGACTATTATTTCAATCAAGGTTATGTACGAATAGTTAGTAAAATGTCATAAAGATGCATTGATTGTATGGAGTGGGATAGTTAATGTATTCGACTTTTAATTATATTAGATTGTTGTACAATAATTACCTAACATCAGTGATTGGAGAGACCAGGATTGTTCACAATTGAACAAAATGCTTTCATATTTTATCTTTTCTTAGATCTTCTGTTCTACTATTCCTTCATACATGACTTTTCTTTCTGGGTTTCTTTTCTAAACTATATCCTCAAAGTTTAGTCTTTCGCATTACCATTACAGCTATTTAAACTCCATTTATGCTACCCCTTTTGTTAAATTCACTCCATTGTGCTGTGACCATTTGGGCTAATGTTTATAACTGACTGACTTTTCGTGGATGTATTCAATGTTCGCTTCGATCTACTTACTTATTTGGAAAAATACATTCACAAACTTTCATTAATATCGTAATTTCTTTTTTTTTCTGTGATTTATTACTTTGTATAATTATTAAAAATGTTCAAGTTATTCTCAATTGAATTTTGAACAGTCGTCGACATATGTTCATCTGATGCGGATCGCCGCTAACAGTGTAATAGAAAACTTTGTTTTCATCCTATTTTTGACTCGTTTATAAGATACACTTCTACCCCAATGTTGATGTTCACAACGAACTCGAATCCGTTGCATTTCACTTTAAACTCCAAATATGTTACCCACTAAGCTACTGAGTTTAAATAGCCACTAGTTCATGTAATGGTTCTATGTTAAAATGATGGCTAACCAACTGACTGATATTAGAAATACGACTCAAACCACACTTTAATCATTCTTGTTCATTCATTTATATTGTATCATCAACTGTCAGATGTAATATGTGTATATGAATTTGAAACAGATTATTGAATTACATTCAACCAATCATCTATTTATATTTTACATTTCTTTCTACGTATGGGAATTCATCGTCGACTATATGTTCATGTATAATTGGAATAATTTGAAAATAGTAACTAGATTTCATTCTCCACAAACGTTTAAAAGGATTCGTTTATGTTTACAGTATGTTTTTATGCCAAACAATGTACTATCGTGATAAACGTTTCTTTGTTTTATGAGCAGTCGGGACCCCTCATGAAAGTCTTTAGTGATTCCAAATATGCTGAAAATACATCTAATTAGCGTTCAGTAGAAATTTTGGGGAGGATTCTAAAAACCAACAGATTACTTATATCCCGATCGGATAACTACCGATTATAACCTCATCATCACATATAAACCTTGGTAGTGAAATTCCTGTCATATTTTCCACCCTTCATTTTCTTGTTTCAGGTCGAAGACTAGAAGATTTCTAGGCAGTAGAAAACATTCATGAAGTCAGTGTTTAAGAGCTTAAGTACCAAATATATCATTAAGTACACGTTATATTTTACATTGCTATTTCCACACTCAACTACTCAGTTTATCTCATATGATAATCTCTCCAAATTTTATCAGAAATAATTTTCACTTTATCATTTATGATTATATGAACTAAAAATAGAAGAGTCACTCTTTAAGAATATCAGTTTCTCAGTATTGCCTATTTATGAGTATATTATTGTCAGTAAAATGATAGATGTTTTCCTACTGAAGTAAAATTATTATTCATTATCTTTTTATCCATCGATACAGCTTGGTATATAAACTAACAGTGTAGACTTGTGTCACCACCGATATTGAGAAGACAAGCAGTTGGTTCTAACAAACTAACTGCCTACTAATAAGCCCTACGATACTAAACGAATCTGATTTAATTACAGCTCTTTACGAAGAGAATATATAATCTCTGATATAGATTATCAGGTTGGTATACTAAAATCTTTCCAAATCATCAGTCAACACTCAAACTCCATTTTTCTTAAATTTTCTGAAGCTATAACTAAACGTCTCAAGCTGGATTTATTTACCCAAAAATTAAGCAGTCACAAATCTTTCCTTATCATAATTACTTAATCGTCAGTTTCTTATATCATTCCTGTGATTCTCTTATTTTGATTGCACCAGTTCCTTCGAATTCAGAATTTTATTTCCAACTGACTTATTTCAATTCATTCTTATTTTTTATTAATCTATATTCAATTACTCCATTACATAATCAGTTGATTTCTTCTTAGCTTTATGATTCCTTGTTACTACGTTCGATGATCCATAATCTTCTCTAGCATTTTATGTTTATACCACTCTTTATAATTCTCAAAATTTCATTGCATTTACTCGAATCATCGCTATTCACAAAGAAGAAGTTGATCCTAAAAATGCACACTGCCTTACTCCTCTGATTTCCGTCTGCGGTGGTAAGGTCTTGACAAGTACGGAACCAACACAAAAAAGTCGTGTGTGACTGGCCTCAAGCAGTTGTCCCTTGGACATGTTATTCTGTCCAATTATCTTTTCTTGCTCTCTCCAAGATCATAGTGATGGCAAGTAATTATGTAGTATATTCGTTTTGTTTCTCATCATTATAATCCGTATTTTTTTAATTGAAGGCAATCGTTATTGAGTAGTATATTTACATTTTGGTTATTGAGTTAAATTGTTAAATAGGAACTATTTATTGTATGTAACGCAGTCATTTTTAAATTCATGTACACATATTACATATGACAGTAATTGATGATACTATAGAATTGACTGAACTAAAGTGATTAACGCGGAGTTCGAATCGCCATTCTAATATCATTTAGTCATCATCATTGTAGAGTCTAGCACGGACAGGTTCTCTAACATTGCGGTTAGTGATATTTTTGGAAACTAATATGTGATATTTGTGTCAATTTATTATTTGTTCACAAATTTCTTAGTGATAAAAGTAATAATAATATTGCACTTGTATATGACAGATTTATACATTTATGTTCTTCGATGATTGAATGTAGTCAAAAGATAACCCTGAATTTGGGTTTTGTGTGCTAGTTGGCACTCATCAACAAGGTGTACCTGAGAACTTGATAAATTGATGTTCTCTAGTCCATTCAAACCCTGATTACTCAGTACCTCAGTCCCATAGCATTGCCATTTAGTTATTCTGACTACTTGAGGCTTCCTGTACGACTGATTTATTTACGTTAATTGATTACTAATTAATGACTAATATCATATTTGTCTGCTCCTTAGTGTTGGTTAAATTTTATCAACTGATTCTACTTCTATCCACTTAACATAAATCTCAGTGCACTCAATTTCGAGTTACTAAGTCTAGTTGCTATATTTCAACGTGATCGATACAATTTGACCAAAACCAAGGAAATTCTAGACAAACATGATACTGGCCATTACTTAGTGACTCATCAATGTATATATTATAATTAGTTTTCTAATGTGACTAGGGTTTTGTTGTAATACGTTTAACATATCGCGCATGTAGTAGAAAATGCTGATTATTTGTAGTATATTGAATTTATTCTATTTCAGCAATAAATAATCAGATTGTTTTCTTAAATTCTATCTTATTAATTTAGCGTTTCCCTACGAATGTACGAAAATATCAACTTGATCGAGTTATAGCCCGGTTTGATTTCGAGACCAAAGGTGCCGGTGAATTATCTTTACATCGTGGTGATGTTATTGAAGTGATTAATCGTAATGATGAAAATTGGTGGCGTGGTCGTACATCCGATGGACGATGTGGCCTATTTCCATCAAATTTTGTAGATGATTTACCTTCAGTCATATAAATAAATTTTCAGTAAAATATTGCTTTAAAAACTAGTAAGTAACTAATCAATCAATCATTCACAAATGTTGCCTCGTTAACTTTCTTTTATACTTTCTGTGTGTGTGTGTGTGTGTTTGGGCATAAGCATCTTTAGTTTCTGTAAACATATACATATAGCTCTCTTTTTCTCTCTGTTTATCTTACTGTCAAGGCTTTAACCTCGTTCAGCTTTGTATTCATATACTCTTTTCCAATAGCTATATATATAGCTATTTATCATATTAAATATCGTGAAAAAGAAAAAAAAAATAGATAAACAACAAGTGCATATAATTTACATAATAGAGCACAATAAACCTCTTTGTTTATTTTACATATTGTTCTTTGTCCAATTTCTTTGTGTGTGTGTGTGTGTTTGTTTGTTTTTCTTCTTCAAATATTGATTTATCTTCTTAAAATTTAATCGAAAATATAAAAAGAATAAATCAAGTTAATATTTACAATTAAAAAATGTGATTAACATATTAAGTAGTATAATAATTTTTATTTCAATAACATTTAATGTTTTTCACTAGTTGTTTAGGGCCTTCTTATTTGCTCGTCTTGATTTATTATTATTATTATTAGACATTGAATTCAAATAATTACGTAATCAATGAACAATTTTCTGTCTTAATTGAATGTATAAATTCTCTTATTGATGCTGTGTTCTGCCTTGATATATATATATATATATATGGATGTTGTCTACGAAACTCGTCTATTTTACTGTCATTATTGATATTTCTTTGTATTGCATTGTTTGTTGTTTCTCTCCGAGTCTTTGTTATTTTCTTACTCATACTACAATATTATTATTATTAATTATAGATATTCTTAACTGTGCAATACACTTTAATCAATTATTATGCATGTACGCACCATTCATCATCACACTTGCTGCCATTTTTGCTTATTTTGTATTTCCTCTTTGTTTTTCCTTTCTTTCACTAGTGTATATCTTCAGTGTCTTGTTATTTTATCTTGTCCCATTTTGTTGTCGTTGCCATTGTATGGGTTAACCGTTACCACTCATATCTTTTTTCTCATGTACATTGATCAGTCTATATGGTTTGAGGCTGATTTTTTTTTTAAAAAAATTTCCAATTTACCATGTTTTGTTTTGTTTCTTGTGTTCATTCCGTTTATGGATTAATATAAGAGCGTGGAACAGACGACTATGTGAATAATTGCATTATCATATTATTATTATTATTACAAAAAGTTTACATTCTGATGTTATTAATGTCTCTTTTTTAAATCTTTTTATAGTAGTGACTTGTGTTCATCAGCATTTTATTTCCTAGTTTGCTTCTATTGCTGACTATAGCTGTTATCTTCTATCAGTTATTGAACTTTTCAATTCTAATTGTCTGTTTGAGTTATTTTGGTTTAAATACTTCTACCTTGAAATCATAACACCCTGGTCAAGTTGTTTAAAGCATGATCTAATCAAATAAAACAAATATAAATTCTAAATACAAAGTTGTACTACTCTCTTTACTGTTTTGCATATAAAACCAATATCCGGCCACGTAAAAAATTGAACGAGGGTGTCTCCAAAGTAGTACATCGATTCAACTCGCAAGTTTCTGGCGAAAAGACATGGTAAGTTCTAAGTTGATTCTGCAAGGATAATTACTCACTAAAAGGTCGCATGTGACCATCTTCTGATAGTTCTTTTCTTTTAAGTCATCATTCACATTCTCAATTTCATGAAATCAACTTAACGAGCACGAAATCTAGATCCAGGCATTCTTGCCTATAGCCTCCTATCATGTAGCATACTGATTGGTTTAAACAGTGAATATTTGTTTCAAGAAAGAGCTGTTACTACTTCTAGAGACCAGGACCTTGTTTTCCATAGTCCACATTTTTGGTTATCTATTGGTTTACATGTTTGAACTTTGTTCCATAGTGTCCTGCCAACAATGTGTAGTGTTCTTAGAATGAAGAAATCACGTAACTCCGTCGCATTATTTATTCATATGATAATTAAAATCAATTTACTATAAATGTATTTATTGCAAAAGTTTCAACCTTCTTTTTTTGCTTCTATCCTTTATTTGTATTCTTCAACTCTTAGCAGCTGCTCTGTGCTTAAAGTCCTGTTCTGTATAAACGATCTCAAGTCGGTTGAAATTTCGAATGCTACCACTAAATACAGAATATGAATCATCTTTTCTGGAACGACTTATACCATTCAGATTAGCCTCCTTCAGCGTTGGCATAAAATGCAAATCGGAGAGCAAATAGGGTTGGGTGATTTTGGAACGCCTTGACATCGATGTTTGCCGTATATCCGAGACCCACATTTATGATTTTGATGAAGTCATATGACTTCGTCCTTCATATATCGATTTGAGAGACTTACTTTACTTGCACTTATCCGGAAACCCTCTGGCATCTCTGTCCGGTTTAACCATCATTGACATCGTACTAAGCACCATAGCAGAGACAGAACTGATCCGTTGTATCCCCATCAACAGTCATTTATATTTTATTAAATTAAAAAGCTCCATTATATTGAAAGGAACTTTGTGCAATAAATGATATCTTTTCTTCATCTTTGCCCAATCCCCAACAGATTGGGGCCCTGATGCAATCATGACTAACCATTGCCATTAGTTATATAATGTTCTCAAGAAAGCGTTTTAAGCAGATATTTTAACGCTTGTCAGAGATTATAATGCTCAGATTGGGCAGCTCAGTTCCTAGGGGAGTCACCCAGGTGACCATTTTGGTCTCAGGTCAAAAAAGTGAGTCTCCTTCAGCTCTTCCTATTTCTAACCAGCACCAACTTTCGGTAGAGTAATCGACATCCTCAGTCGGCAACTTGAATATAGACGTAGATTAGTCACATGGCGATAAGGTACAAATGGTGTGCTTTTGAAGAAGACTTGTACTCCCCTCGTAGTACCTATCTGGTTTCTGATTATGGTACAATTTGCGCTGAGCTTATCTTGCGGTTTAGTGGCCTGAAAAAATCGATTGTATTCTGAGAACAAGCTGATGAAAGTAGGTGTGATACTGTAGATTCATTACACCGGAAAAAAATCTCAGTAAACAGATAATTTTGTCTTACACTGCGATGTTAATCAAGCTATGCAATCTTCAATTAATTAGTGTATGTACGACATGTACTTTGTACCTTCTGAATGCAGAGAACCTTTACAACACTGGTGGAAGCCTTTGTGTACACATTCTGGGTGGTGGGCCTTTAGAAGTATCAGGAAAGCTCATGTATCTGGGTAGCTTTGTGAGTGGTAGCGTGACTGATGTGATCGATTTACGTATATTGGAAGTCACATTAGCCTATTTTAGTTTTTGGCTCCTTCTTTGTGTCGGTGTAATTGTAAAACGTCGGATTTACAACTTCACGATGAAAACATTTATGCTCTTGAAACCTTTCATTTTCGTGTTGAGGATGTCCGATCATAGTTGTCTCTGAAGGATTACTGACACTCGGTGCAATACCATAATCATAATGCGGAGGTTTGGTTATGCTTTTTTAGGGACCAATAATTACCTTATTGGTGTCATTACCTTTAAACACTGGCTTCAGCCAATTGGCTATTTGTTATGAGTGTAATCATAGCGTCTTCCATGTTGCACATTAATTCCCAAAACTAGGGCTGTATAAAAGCAGCAATGTAGTAATCGTTTCATGAAGTTGTGTCGTGTTATGAAGGAAATCCATTTGGGATTAACATATATTACTTCCTTTCTGTGGTGTAATTCACTAGTTCAAAACTTTATCAGACATAGCTCAGACCAGAAGCCGTTGACATTTCTTTATTTATATGACATCATATTTCCTTTGATGCCCAGTTATTCTAGTGTTTATGTATATCAAATAAATAAATATTAGAATATGTAATTCAATCAAAATGTATCTACCATTTCATCGACTAATTAATCTAGGTAGTTTTGAAAAAATGTGTTGAGAAACAAAATATTCATTTGATTAGCAATAATTTACTATAACTTACGTGAACCATTTGAAATGTAACGGATGTGGGTTGTTTGTTTGTTTGTTTTTTTAATAACAAATTGTTACATGTAATCTGAAATAAAAATCAATCGAAATGATTACTTAGTAACAATGAAAAAAAGTTTACAGTTCATTAGACTTTAAATCACTTATCGAAAATATGAAACTGAAATGTTGTACAAAAATGTTCTGATCCATCAGTTTATATTTTATATGTTCATTCATACGATATATTAACTTTGAACAGTGAGCAATGTCATCATCTTATTTAACATTTAGATGAATACTGTTCCGTGAATTTTGGAAGTCTAGCAAATAATATGATGAGTAATACAAGTGAAGCTTAGTTAGTTGATGTATAAAAATCATGAGTTAATCACTTGAATTTGAAGTTTTTCAGTCTATTTAAATATATATCAAATTTAGCGATTTATATATTTAGTTTAGTCTCTGTTTTATTCTAATGAATTATACGCTTTCGTTTAAAGTATAGGTCACTGTCATATTCTTTTCTCAGATTGTAATCATGAGTCAGTTGAAGCTAGACCACCATTGAAAACCTGGAAGCACTGGTCTAGCTTCAACTGACTCATGATTACAATCTGTGAAATTTCTAAAATCTCCACAAAGCCCATTCTGATATTCTTTTCTATTCTAAAGTTGCTCGAATAGACAATTTTATTCTTTTTATTCCTTGTTCGTTATGGTCTTGCTAGCAGCATATTTATTCATGTGTCTGTTCGAGTTAATCTGAATTAAGAATGAATTGAGTAATTTTCCAGTTAATTTATTTTCTACTTCTTCGCTTATCAACTAACCAGGTCTATCCTTAAAGCCTTTCAGTCACAATTAAACTCAAGCACTACTAGCCTTAAGGTTGAACTAAGTAGCTGTTATATCTCTGTCGCTCTCTACCTATATTTGAAAAACAATACGAGGAACCACTGCAATTATCACGACACGAATTAAGAACATCAAGAATGGTATAAGTGAAGATTCATTAACCCCAAAATATGAAGATGACCCTAGTCGAAAATACACTCATTTATATATTGATTGTACATCTATGTTGATTATTAATTAGAATAAAATCAGATATGTGAAAAATATCCATAGTTATGGAAAAATACATGCTCTACATCACATATTGAAGATAGTTCATTTCACTCAAATAAATTAATGTTATACCGAATAGTAAATCATATTGAAAAACACAGAAAACAAATACTACACTGAATAATCATTATATAAAATTAATAATGGAGATAATGTAGAACAAAAATGTAATTTTTCCCTTTATCACGTTGGTAACCTATTGCTCCAAGTCCTTAAGCTGAATAGCAACAATACTCTCCTTTATATTATTGCACAGATCGATCAAGAATATAACAACTGTCATTCAGTGTTTAATTGAAACTAATTTAACAATAATAGTAATTATCATCAGTAATAACTAATAAACTTCATTATATACTTTGTTCCATATAAAGTTTTGGGTGTTTTATTATTATTATTGTTATTGTTATTATTATTATTATTTTCATTTGTGATGAATGTACTTTAACGAGATGAACAGAAGAAAAAAAAAATAGACATTTTATTAGAAAAATTATCAATTTAAGAATAATAGAAAAGTTTTCTATTCATTAAATAGTGTCAATAAAATATACAATTAATTTGTATGATCTAGTGGGATATAATATTTAACTTGTAAGAGTTATGTAAACTCCGCCTGTAGCTCTTCTAGAGTTACTGCCGGTCCCAAGTCCGGGTAAAGGAGGAGAGTTGGGCATGGGGTTAGCGTCCCCATCCCGTAGAAAAATAACTCGCTAAAAAAACACCTAGCAGTAAGTAAGAGTTATGTATAATTTCACAGTAATTACCTTTCATAAATGATATTTATTGAAAGTCAATAAATCAAAGAATAATAAACAGTTGGCATTATACCGTTAATTCAATGAAACAAAATATGTGTTACGTAATAATATCAATCAGTGATTATAATACTGTGTCAACACCTCAACTAAGGATAAGGAGTGAGATAGTCGAACGCGTTGATAACTTCATTTATCTTGGAAGTCTGGTCAGCCCAATTGAGTTGGCGTTTGATGAAATCTCAGCACGGACTCGAAAAGATCGCTTGGCTTTTGCCAACTTACGTCACCCTGTGACGAAGGCGAGATATCGGTCTATCAGTTAAAGGGCGAGTATACTGCACGGTAGTTCATCGTGTTGTACTTTACGGCTGAAAAACGTGGACATTATTGGTAGAAGATACTCGTAATCTACTAATATTTGACCACAGATGCCTTAAGAATATTGCTCGCATCTTATGGGATCACTGGGTAAGTAATAGTGAGGTTAGTCACATGGTATTAGAGAATGATAGTAAATCACTGGATAAGGTTGTGAATCTTCATCGACTGAGATGGTTGGGCCATATGTGACGTATGCCTGAACACCGAATATCACGATGCGCAATGCACACTAGTGTTGGGGATGG